TTTTAGGAATTTTTGCGTTCAACTGTAGATGTGGCAGATCTTTTAGGCCTATATTTAGTTATGACAAAAATTGCTGGAAAAGGGGACTTGAAAGTTCTTGTTGCTGGTTTGGGTGAGCAGAATTCGTTATTCATTACTCTTCCAATATTAGTCTTATATTAACTGTTAGTATATATAACTGTTATATTAATTGTTAGTATAAACATATTAATGGTCTATCACTCATAGTGCACTGTGATTGGCTATTCTACTAATGGTCTAACTTGTGATAGACCACTCGTGGGAAAATCAAAATAAATAAATTATAAATTATTCTAAGGATATTTCAATTTGTTTTCATTATTTGACCAATTAGTATGTTTATACTAAAACAATTAGACATCTAGGACTCGTGGACTACAAGCAGTAATAGCCCATTCAGCCTCGCGGCCTCGGCCTCATGGGCTATTACCTCGTAGTCCACTCAACCTTAACGTCTAATTGTTAATTATCATCATATTCAAGGTTGGGCAACAGCTGAAATGGCAATGACAAGACTACTGCCTTTGTGGGTAGGAGCCAGAGGGATGGAGTTTGATTGGAAATACATGCAGATGAGCTTTGATGCYAATATCAGTTTGGTTAGTAAATTTTCTGTTAAAGTAACCACTTTTATTACTATAGCTGTTCCCATGGATACACTTTCAAATGATGTTGTATGATAGTTTGTTATGAACTACAATAATTATATAGCATACAGGTCATGGAATATGTGAAGTATTGACTTAAAATGTACTCATCCTTTTACTAGTACTAGTTGAAACTTTTTTGTTTATTTTACAGGGGCATCACATTGCTACTGCAACACTTGTATGGCTGTGGAGTAGGACTGATTTACACAAAACCTTTGTACCTGTGGTTGTTGTATTCCTTGCCCTTGGATGCTACAAACCATTGATTATAGAGTAAGAAATAACACTAATAATACATGCATTAATTGACATGATAACTAACTCTCCAAAAACAAATGGGGCTAAAGGAGATCACTGCTTATAGGGCTTGAAGCCACTGGCCTGTTGATAATAACAAATCACTACAGACTCAATAAAATTGATATAGAACTTGAGGTATAAAGTCATAGAAAGGGATTTGGGTATTACTTTCTATATTGCCCTTGTTCTTAGTATTTGGTTACTGATTGTGATAAAACATTTTGATMTTTATTCCCACAGAACCCTTAGTCACACTCTTGGTGTTCATTCCTGGGCACTSCTTGTGTTGAAAGCTGCTTTCACTGGATGTATAGGCTTCGTAGCTCTTCAACTTTATCTTGTACTTACCACTGATAAACAACATTATAGACAGTAGATTTCATCCCAAAATCATGKTAATTTTGGGGGTTATCAATGTGGTGACAAGAGCTTGTACATGTAACATAGTTATAAGTGTTCTTTCGTAGATATTGTAACTATTTATGCAGTTTCTTTTACATCAATCTCATTACCAAAGAGTTCTTCAAATTTGAAAATAAAAAAGAGAAAAACTTGGAAAAAGTTAGTTTTTTTAATTTGTTTTTGACTTGGGGAACAGAATGAATCGTCCTCCATTTAACCTGGCTGGTTAGCATTCATCTGCTTTACCATTCTCGTACCCAGACCCTTCTCAGCTTCCCAACAAGAAAATCGATTTTCCGTTGGGAAGCTGAGAAGGGTCTGGGTACGAGAATGCTGCTTTACAAGTGCGCCAGCAACACCTCCAAACCATCTCAACTGATTGGCCAATCCTGTCCGCGCAAATGATGTGTTTGATTTGTCGGAACTACTAGAAGTATGAATTCTGGAAGTTGAGCCAAACACAGATCATTAAACAATCATTGGGAGTTGAAAATTATAGAAGCATTACTATAGTACTTCAAAACACGCATTTAATCTTTGAAATCTTTTATATTGACATACAAGGAGTTTCTAATCCTGATCATGCGATGACAATGAAGTGCATATTAAAATCACATCACTGCCACTCTACCTTGAAAGTCAGTCATACAAATAATTCCAAACGATATCCTTTTTTTATTTTACAATATGATCGTCATTTCAAAGTTCTAGAAACGCCCAGATCAATCCACCAAATTTCAATAGTAAAAGTACAATGTACAACAGTCAAGTTATTTGTCTTCAAAAGTAAACTTTGGGAACTCCTCCAGATTTCCACCTCCAAAACGCTTCTTAATTTGTTCAACTTCTCTTGCGGTATTAGCTTCCATTTCTGGTGTTACATCTACAAGTTTCCCATCTTTACTCTTCTGCTTGTAAGCTTGCAACTTGTCCAGGAACAGTCGTTGAATTGGATCAGCATTCTTGTCTAATTTTGCCATAACAACAGATGAACAGCCAATATTTTTCTTTGCAACATTCCAAACAGTGACTAAGTTCCTTTGTAGAATCCTCGAGGTTTGGCTCAATGCTGCCATATTGATAATAAACACTGTAATCCCCCTCACAAGTACAACGTGGAACTTGAAATTTCAAGATGGCGGACTTCAAGGATGAGCCTCGCTCTGAYGACCTCTCGTTCCAGTTCTACACGGTGCAAAGCAGTCCCAGTTATCCAGAGGATCCCAGAGGATATTATAAACGTTTATAACTGTGTTAGCGTCAAGTTTAAGTATTTTATTTCCTGGTACTTCTGTATTACTCATAGATATGTTGAAAAATTTTGAAAGAAGAAGATGCAATTCTAAAGTATTGTAAGTAATATTGACCCTAAAATAGTGGAGTTCCTGTGTGGTACGGAAGTAACGCCTGACTACTTTGAATTCGGTTGAGTATTAAACTGTACTTTTTGCAGCTGTGTGAACTGTGGATTAGCACTCAAGAACTGTATAGTCCTTTATTTTTGTTGATTTTTGCATAAAAAGTGAACTATATAACGACACTTGAAGAAATGGCTGCTGCAAAGATTAACGTTGGGACCCGTGATAGTACGGTAAGTGTGGAGGCCAAGGGCTGCAATTATTTGCAAGACMGAGCAAGCTACGTTTRATCCACGATTAAAAGMATGTTATGTAATAACTTAATTTTGAACTATTATGAATTTTTTCACTCAKATGATATGCTACGTTGTCACAGAGAAGTTCATTTTTACTTAAGGACAAATGTTCTCTATGGACTCTATGACATTGTTTTTAGAGTAATTAATTAAATATGCATTATAAGCTAATTACATTTTATACAATTATAATTATTTTTTTAACAGTTGGCATTAATTCAAACGAATTTTATTGTCTCAAAACTAAAAGAGAAAAATCCTGAACTGRCAATGGAGCTTGGTAAGAATTGCTTTAACATTTCATCTGTTTAGGAGAAGGGCATAAAAATGCAGCTTCTAGTAAGACAGTGAAAAGGTCTGAAAACATCTGTTAATAGGATGGTCATGGGATCAATTCCCATCTAGTTCTCAGAATTTTTTCTGGATCTGATGCAAACATTATTTTTATGCATAACATTTCTGGTAGAATTTGTATTTTTGAATTTGTACTTTTGCTTAACACTTACAGTTTCCATGAAAACCATTGGCGACCAAGTACTGGACAAAGCTTTACCAAAGGTTTAATGATCTTGAGTTTGTTTTATCAGTGTTGAAAGAAAAAATATTTCTGCTAATATTTCCTTCATTAGAGAATCCATTGCTAAGTATAATTTATTCTATAATACATGATTGAGTGCATATTTTTAAGGAGTGTTTGTATCACTTTAGATAGGAGAATCAAATCTGTTTACTAAAGAGTTAGAACATGCATTGGCTCAAAGAAAGTAAGTATCAAAATGGTCAGCGTAGTGACATTTACATACATTGTACCTTGGCAACACTTCATTTCAACCTTCATTTCCTGATTAACAGGGTTCATTTCATTGTTCACTCATTAAAAGACCTTCCATCAACACTCCCACCAAACATGGCCATTGGTGCAATCTACAGGTACAAATTCACAAAGACTTTTTTATGAAATATAATAATTTGTGTATTAGTTATGATTACAAGTTTGTTTCTTAAATTGTACAAATCCATTAATTCATTTGAAACAATGTTCATAAAAGTTTCAGCCTAATGTCTGATTTCTCTTCACYCCTGGCCCTCCCCTGTAATCATGGTTTCTTCCTTGGATAATAAAATTATGAGATGGAGCCATCAACTATATTAGTATACTAGAGTTGTCATGTTAGCCATCTGAAGGAATTTGCCTTTGTAACCATAAAAAKTACTTTCTTCAGGAGAGAATCTCCACGTGATGCCGTCCTTCTTCATCCAAAACACAAAGGATTGACCATTGGAGAATTGCCAGCAGGAAGGTGACTGCTATTAACTAAGATATAAGTGCAGCTGAGGACTATATGAACATGTTTGTCGACCTCAACTTGGTTTGACAGTAAGTTAACAGTGTGTGTGATTTACTCAACACAATTGATTTGATTTTTTCAGTGTTATTGGCACAAGCTCACTTCGCCGTATTGCTCAGCTACTAAGAAAGTACCCTCATCTAAAATTCCAAGATATTGTATCCTTAATAGATTTATCATTAGGCATTAAAAGCTTGTTTACAAATGCAGTTAAAATATTTCCTCAAAAATAATACTTGTTGAAATTCTCAGTATCAATCAGATTCTTTGACTATTGCCAAAAGAGGGGAAATTTAAACACCAGACTAAAAAAGCTTGAAGAAAGTGGTATATATGATGCTATAATACTTGCAAAAGCTGGTCTAGATAGGATGAACTGGCAGGATAAAACTGACCAGGTGACTTTAATGTAGTTGTTTTATTGATTTCCTATATTTTTGTGTTATTAATACTTACTTGTCTTCATTTTAATAGGTTCTTTTAGAAGATGACTGCCTTTATGCTGTTGGCCAGGTAATGCCAGCGGTTYGTTATTCTATATAATTATTAGTGGTCTTAAAAAAGTAGCSCATGCAAGCTGGTTAATTTTATTWATCTTTTGCAAAARTTTATGTAATATTTTGTCTAACTTGACTAATATTCTGTGTTTGCAGGGTGCYTTAGCAGTAGAGGTTAATATTGATGACAAAATGACWACTGACTTGATTGCTCAACTCACTGACTTTGAGACTATGTTGTGTTGTGCTGCAGAAAGAGCATTTCTTAAGACTTTGGTAAGAGAATTAATATCATTCACATCATTTTAGATGCCATTCATCATTATTATTTTTTCTAATTTATTTTATCCAATTTAGCAAGGAGGATGTAGTGTCCCTGTTGGTGTACATACAGAGTTTAGAGACAATAAGGTAAACTATAATAACTGTCATTGTGACAGCATTTTACAAAGTTGTTATCTTATGCAAGCTCTGCACACAATCACTTTAGTTRTCAATGACTGGAGCAGTGCTTAGCCTTGATGGACAGGAGTGTATAAAGAACACAATAGTTCAAGATATTCCAAAAATCAATGAAGACCTGAAAGGCAAAGACTCTATACTGGGAATGTCATCAATTCTCATTCCAGCAAACTTGCATGATGCAGTTMRACAGGGAGAATTTGCAGGAGAGAAGCTAGGTCTAGAATTGATTAGCAAAGGTGCTGACAAAATTCTAGAAAAAGCTAGGCTAGATAATGAATCTGGTAAATAAGGTCAGAAGCAATCATTTATATTTTTATACAATTATTGTATTTTCATAATTTTAATTACTACACTCTCAGACTATTGCAGCACTAAAATTGGCAGTCAAGAATAACTGATATCACAAAAATGTAMAATTTCCATTCTGTACTCAAAACTATGCCAATAAAACTGGCAGTAAAGAAATGATGTTACAATTATATATAATAATGTTAGAAATKACTTTAGCTAGCTAATAATTGAAACCTATTAGTTTTGTAATGATAATTATGTTTTAACATTATTTATTACAACATTAGTGAAGGTATATAATATAGAAATTATAATAAAGAATTCTTCATGAAGGGCATATATTCATTTGAAACATTATAATAAAAAAGGTTTTTTTTAGAAATACCATTCAGACACCAGCAAAACAAATTAATATCCAATAATGAAATACCTCAAATATAGAATAATACCATGATTATAAACCTATATTGACAAGTGTACTATTAAATACTGTACTGTTAAAGCATATTAGTTCCTGCTAACTCTGATTCTAGTTCATAATTGTCAAATAGTATTAGATGCTTAATTACCTTATCAATTTTAAAAACTGGAATTCTCRAAAGCTAATTTCAATTGCCTACTATAAAAAAATACAATGATTAATTCAACAAGCAGAACTATCAATATATTTTAAGCCTAAGTTATAATTCATTTTTATTTGCTTGATGTTCAGCTGTATTTGAGTGTTTTTCTTGAACTTTATCATCAGCTGTAAGAAATTCTACTTTGTTTCGCAGTACATCACGTACCCACTGCTGCATATGCTTGAGTTTAATTTCTTTACCTTTWGTTTTTAACCATGAACTACGATTCTAAAAAAAATTGTGAATTTGTTAGTCAAGGTTTTTTTCCCTCTTTGGGCTAACAACAATCATCAGGAGAGATCAATCCCCTTCAGGTATCCATCATCATGATATTATATTCAATACTGTTCTGTGTGCGTAAGTGTTTTTTTTATTGTATGCACTTGCCTGTTTTGGATCTACAACACCCAGAGATGGTTTAGTCACATCTATTTTATACGACTTTTGCCAATATTCACGCATCTAAATAAAATTAAAGCACAGTTTATTTAATCAGTGTTTAAAGATTCCATATAAACTAAATGTAAGTTGAATGCAATGTTCATCATACCATTGGGAAAGGATCTGGATCAACCCACACAAATGTAAGATTGTCATTTTCTTTAAAGCCTCTTGCCAGGTTCTTGACTAAAGAAAAAAACTTTGCACCTTCTGAAAATAATAGTATTGAAGACTTTCAAACTCACAACATTATCACAATGTTAAAACAATTATAAAATAATTTGTATTTTGTAAAACTATGTACAGTAATACCTTCTGTTTTTGGTCGAACAAATGCAGTGATCAGAAAACCTTTAGCTTTAGCAGACTATTAAAGGAATTCAGATATAACTACATTTCAGTGGATATATAAATTTATATTATGTCAAAGTGAATATATCAGTTTCTGTGGGGGATGTTCCAAAGCTTGTCAGATTGGTCAGTCTATACCTGCATGCTCCACTAGACAAAATATATCAAGTTTTTTATCTTACCCACACGGCGTGTATGTTTTCCAGTTTAATTTTTGCAAGAATCTCTCTAAAAGAGAAGATGAGCTATGATAAATGTATGCAAAATTTATTTTAATAACAGTTACTAGATACTCACTTTTTATTCTTTTCTATAAAATCTTTTATATTGTCTTCTGTAATTGCCTAGAAAAATGAGAACTAAATGAGAATGCCTTAAGCAAATTTCATGGTAATGTATCCATAAAGCTGTTAAATTAATAAGGACTTGATACATATGTGATATGCATTCTTGAACGTGACCAACAATTTGTATCCTCGACTGAATAAAAAACACATGTACTTTACCTTATTAGATGGGAAGGCAATTGGCTTTTCAAATGGCTTGTAAAACTGAAGGGTATTAACTTTTTTCAATCTAAATTGTTTGGCTTGCTGTAAGACATAAAATAAAAGGAAATGATAATAATGTGCTATGCAACAGAAACCATTGTTTTAAAAGCAATATTAATATTGTTTACCTTTTTATCTGTGACTACAAAAAATGGTATTAATGGCTGAAAGTTCATTGCTGCTTCATGATATTCTTTATACTCTAAAATTAACACAGTTTATTGTACATTATGTATATTAATACCTTCATGCAACAATTATCATAATAAGAAATTTGAATGTAATTTACCTGCAATTTATTCACATGCAAATTTTATTTTAATAGACTCATCATATAAGCTTATTTTACATCAAGTATGCTGTTGCTAAGAAATATTGCAAATATTACAGGTACAGAGGGCTTTAGTAAAGCAAAGCACTCCAGAACAAAAGTGTCAGCTCATTTAATACTTTCTCCAATAATTAAGTGACACCAAAACTGTAATGAAAGTGGCCTTATCATAAAAAAATTTACTGCAGTTTTAATAATGCTATTAATATGTTTACAGTAAACTTACGAGAGCTGCTTTTGTCAAAAAAGCCAACCACTTTGCTGCTTTCAATTTCATCAAATAGTTTTCTTTGCTTTTTGGTATCAATGGTAGTAATTGGTTGTTCTAGCATCTACAAAAAGTTGTGTTAGACTACACTAGTGTTTTAATAGTGACTGACTGRTTTTTGAATTCTGATAACTTTTGACTGCTGGCCACTATTATGTGACTGGTAAAAAGTATAATATTGGTTACATACATTGACTTCTTATGTACTATAACTTATATAGGGCAGTCTCACCTTATGAAGAAAAGTAACCAATATATCAGCTGACCTAAAAAAAACATATTTAATGTGCAAGTTAAAAACAAAAGAGGACAGGTTCTCAAGTATTACTTTATTTGTAATTGAATCTAACAAACTCCAAAGTTGTTTAAATGCAGATAGCTCTAGAAATAACTGTCCATCTAAGCCATTCAAAATCTTTGAAACAATAAAATGTTATTGTCATTGACAGCCATGTCATTGAATGGAATATTTACATCATAACAAAATCTGCCACTTGGAAGACAATAACAAATTATTTTATTTACATAGCTAATGTTACCTGTGACCTAAGTAATCCACTTGTTTTCCTTTATGGAATATCACTATTGACCCAGCATACCTAATTCCTGACAGTTATATATAGAAAGAGCAATAAGAAGATCATAAAATCTATTTGAATTATAACCTACATGGAGGTTTTTTTTGTTAACTATTAGCTGTCTTTACCCAAAARAGAKAAAGACTGGTAGCAATGASAGAATATTGTTTTTGMTACCTCCAGTCTTTCAARTGTAAAACAGGAATCCCAAAAGKAAARGACCTGCTGCAAATTGGATCATCTTTCCTGGTAGGCAWARAYGCAAATGCYAWARTTCTGGCAAAACTTACCAACACTTTGGGCTAGCTCATACTGTTGCTCAATATTAACCTTCCCAACAGTGATACCCTGTGGTTGAAGAACTCGTCCAACAAGCTACATAAAAGAAAGCGCTATATTTCAGCTGTCCAATATTGGCATAGAAAGGGGATCACACATAATATATGATTCACATACAATTGGAGGAAAGGACAATTCAAGTTAGTGGCTATACAGCAACTGACCACACCCATGCTTAGAACACCTAGCCCCATTTTCGACTTTTCCCAAACCCCCAACTGTCTAAAAATAAGCTCCTACTTTCATGCTAACAGCATGTCTATGTCAACAATATTCATTCATAAAAATTCCCTAAAATTACATTTTTTTACATTTTGAAGAAGTCACTATTATATTATTGAATTCTTCTCTTGAAAGAATAAAAAAACAGGACATCCAAAAGCAGTAGAATAATTTATCAAATTTAAAACATTGAAATTTGGACAAATTGACAAAATAATCTTGAGAAGCCTGTCAATCAAGCTATTTCATTATTCCATGGAGCACTACACAATCCTGTGTTTCTTCATTGTTTGAACAAATATTTAAAAATTGATTGGTGAAGAGCTATACCACTAATGTAAAGTTATTTTCCTTGTCTTTCTTCTTTCCAATTTCCTATTCAGTCTTTTTTTCTTTTTTTTTTTTCAAAAACCAAAATTCTTATTATGGCAATATTGAATGTTATCTATATTAAAAGCCCCAAAGTCAGTGCACAATCCAATATATATTTTGACTGTAATTAAAAATCTGATTTGTATATAATCACTTGATAGAGGTTAGTATTCCCAATGGTTCAACTGAATTAGGACAAATAAAATTTTCACAGCTGAATAGATTACATCAACTCCAAACAAATGAAGAAGCTCACCTTATCAACAGAAATCAAAACGATAATCAATCTAACCAAGAAAGATCATTATCTTATCATAACAAAGAAAATTAGCTAAAACGCTAATAGACTGAGATTTTGAATATTATAATGAATATTTCTGGGCTTTGCAGGGAGTTGATAACTCCACAAGAAAAATTAAAACTTCTTTCAATAGGTTCATTATATTACTTTAAGTACTTTAAATTGAGCTTTGAGAGTAACAATGCATTATTCCCGATACCGCAATCTAACTAGACTAACTAAATAGGGAGGTGATCGAATGTTAGATTAGTTTCAAAAAATGATGGACCTTCAAATAACCAAAATATAATACCCCAAATAACAAAACCTTTTATCAAAATAAATGTTTTCTTTCTCAGACACCTTAAAGCGTATCATGAAAATATTATCCGYACAATTTCAACGTACTGCTGTGCAGTAAAAGCCCGGARAATTTACTGAAATTGCAACTTTAACTGTTGTAATTTGAAGWTAATATTATTTACGCGCTAAAGCTGTCACACAAAAATCMCATACTTGAAAATAAACCATGTTCATAAAACTCTCCTACCTCCAACAATTTTTCGTCGGATTCCCAGGCTTTTTCGGACTCAGGGTGATCTTTTGATGTCAAATAAAACAAAACCACAGCAAGTCTACTATGCTTCAATGTGTTAGCGAAGTTGTCTTTGGTCAAACTAGCAACGCGTCGGATTCCATCGTCCCGCAAATAATGCGGTAACTGGCTTTCCTGTGACTCGACTTCGTCTAAATCTTCRCTATACAGAGGATGGATTTGAAAACAACTAAGAAATGCTAAAAGCAAAAGTCGYTTCGGAGACATCCCTGGCTATCGGACTGTGGAGTGATATATTACTTTGAAGCTGCAGGGTTCGTTGGTATGTATTCCGGAAATACGTAAACATAGAGGTCAGTACCATGTCTGACATAACTACGACGTACTTGCCATGTTCATTGCTGAATTGTTTTTGGAACGATTCGTTCATTGGTATCAAAGCAAGATATACAATTTTTTAACCAATTAGCAACTCTTAGGCAAAGAGAACATGCTGAGATTTGCCCTTCAGCGCAGTTTTCGGAATGCTTTCAGAGCAATAGAGCGCATTCAAGATCAGGACGATAGGTCACTTCCGGTAGTTCCCAGGCTAGCGCAACTACGCAAGGGGTCACAATAAAAATAGTAAAGRAAACACTCTTTTCAAATGCAAATGTGTCTGGCATTGTATACATCGTTCAAAATGTGATATTTTCTCAATTTGAAGCTCCTTAATAGTATGGTTTACAAGGTTCTTGTCTAATGTAATAACAATATGACCACCTGGTATACTCCCGAAGAATTTTCCGCAGGTAACTACTTAATTCAAAATATTTTGTTGCGAAGGAGCGGGTCTGTGATTGCTATGACATTTCTGGTAATCACCTAGCACGAAAGTATGTCCTTTGTTGTATGCTTTGGGATAATCTAATCACGTAGCTAAGATTCCTTGTCAATAGTATTTATACTTGCTAATTTACGTTCGTGTTGTTTTAGGAACAAACTTGCCAGTTGTATCGCCTCCAGAAGCGTCTACCATCCAAAGGTGATGTAATTTTACCAGGACTTTTGCTGTTTTCATAGCTAAGGGATTTATTTTTAGTTTTAAATGTAAAATAAGTATAACGAAAGAAAAGAAGTGCGACACAAATAGAGTTTTTTGCCAATATTAAGCGAATAATGCTGATTAAACTTTTTTGAGCGCRTTCAATGGCCGTGCTCTGTCAACCAAAAAAGTTTATCTCTTTCTTGTACAATACAGAAATTCCGATAGCCAAGGRCTTCCATATTATTTCTAAATTTCAACTGTGTGTTTTATCGTAAAAGAAACCTCTTAATACGTGTGTTTCTGTATCCTGTACATGTATAAAGGTCAAAGAAAATTTTACGTTGATGTAGACTTGACAGTGTCCACRGATCGGAGTGTTTCTGTCTTCGAAGGTTGGGTTTCGAAGCCTTTGACTGAAATCGTAGGTTGTGTAGTATTGAATCTGTTAATAATTTCTTTCAGAAAGAAATATAACAGTTAACACGAAAATTCTAGATATTTCTAATTCCAAATCTATTAAAAACCAAAATAATCAAAAAATATAAAGTAGATCTTTTATGAAAAAATAGGTGTATGAAAATAAAAAGGCTTATATTTTCATTTTGAATTTCAAATTGCCTAGGTATTTATAATAGATGTAGTATGTATAGACTGATAAATTAAATCCAATTTCCAAGATTAAAATACGAATCAATATTTTACAATGACGTTGTTAAAAGAGTCATTACTGTGTTGGCCATGCATAACCCATGTACAATACAGGTCATGCTGTCATCATTTGTGGTGGAGTGTTCAGATTGCATGATCATTAATGCATCACATTTGATACTGTTGATGACACTCTTTGTAAAGACATAAAATTGACATTGAATAATTGTCATCACTTTCAGTAATCCTTTCTAAGTATTTAGGATTTTAAAGAATCTCCAAGACAAGAAACTTGTGCTGTTGGGAAATAAATTTGACCCAGGAGATATCTATGTTCATTATCTATGTTATATGACTGCTTTCATTCTACTGATTAGTATTTCTCAAAATTATATAATAGAAAACATGTTTTTAAAATAGGACTCTAAATTTCCAGACAAGCACTCAAAAATGACATTTTTCTGGAAAATTGGCTTTGGAGGGAGGGGGAGGGGATGGAGGCTGAAGATCTGGGGAAATGGTTTTTTTATTAATGGACTTAAGATCTTATATTTTATACCTTTCTTATAAATATTGTCTTGTTTCAATTTTCCTAACATGCATGCAAGCTATAGACTATAACTCATAAATGATGATAAGATAAAAATAAAATATATTAAATACATAAATATTATTTATGTTTGAATTAGTTGCACAGGAACAATCTATTGACACTTCAATATAAAAGTATTTATTCATTACTAACTAATTTATGTATCTGCTATTAACTAATATTGGTATCTACTGTGAGTCACTGCCTGTATGTTTATCATGTGATAAATAAATAACTAATAAATATAACACTTATATTGAAATACAGAACTTTAAAGCTCTTGCTTATCCTGCAGGTATGGTATTCTATGGCATGTATATAATTAAACATATTTGTATATTTCTAAGGATATTGATCTAAGCATAATGTTCATTGTTTAATTGAAGGACTAAACTCTCTTGAAGCTATTTTTCTGAGACCTAAATTTCTTTCTTGTGTTAATCAAGTGATCTTAAGAAATCTATAAAAAAAAACAGAACCTGATTTTATATAATACATGTTGATTACATTGTTCAATAATAATGGTTTAGATTATTAAGACACTGATTATATTTATTTACTTCTTGAAGATATTCATAAATCTTGAATTTGTATAATTAATGAAGTTGAGTTTGATAGAAAATTCAAAAAATGCATCAAATTATTTTAGTCTTAGTATATTAATGTTATGCAATGTTTAAAATAAATTTAAAAATACCAATAATTCTCCAAATAATTTTGAAGCAAGATATTATTAAGTATAATTGCTTACTTAGCATTCCATTTTGCAATCAGTCTTGTGGTGATCCAATGATTTAAGAATAAAAAATACATGAGCAATCAGTTTTAAAATGGGAAGTTTTTTTGACAAAAGATGAATATAATTATTACCATATATGGAATGTAAGGGCAAAGTGAAACAGCACTATCAGATCACAGTACAGAAATATTGTGATATAGATATCAGTTAGGCACCGTCCTTTGGACTGTATGCTTTATCAAATGGGATTTTCAGGGAGATTACGAAGATCATTAAGTTATCATATCCCAAGGTATTTAACTAAAGGTTATTTCTAGTTAATTCTTTATAGATTGGTGATATTTATATTGTTCAAAATCAAATAGAGTTGTACTGTTATTGTCCATCATGGAAAATATTTCATATGTATAATCATCTAGTATGATATTATTTAATTATTACTGATAGTACTATAATTATAGATTGTAATCAAACATTAATTTTAGCTTTGATAAAATAATGGAGAATAGTATTTGTTCTGAATGGACTTTTCTTAGTATCAATTAAACAATCAATTAAGGTATGAATTAAGCACTAAATTAATAGTCATATATGATGACAGTAAATTTAGCCCTCTGACTGTTCTTACTGAACCAGCAAAATTTAAAAACAATGTATTATAACAATTTAAATTTAATACTTTTTACAGTACTTTTGGTCTAAGTAATAACTGCATTATATTGATTTTGCAGTACTCAAGAGGTATCTAGATATTTTTGATCTATTTATATATTTGGAAAGTGATGCACTTTGTTAATAGTTGAAACAGCAGCAGGTTTATATTAAGCGGTTATGCATCTTTATCCTGTCATCATGTGCTTGGTTCATGATTAGATAATTGTCATGTGTTTTTTCTATGCAGGGGTAACAGAAAATTAAAAAGGTTATCTGTAGATGATGGATGTAAAAACAATCTTCGCAGAAGTATCAACTTTGATTCCACTTCTGTACCACCAATAATAAGCGTAAGTATTTTATATCATAAAAATTTTTAACTGTTTTTTTATCCAAGTGGTGATATCATTTCTCTTGATACAAAATAGTACAATTCTAATATATTTATCATATGTTTGTTGCACTGTTTAATTTATTTAGGGAGATTTGAATGCAGGAAGTGAAAAGACTGGTACATTTATGAGTCTTCGCAGGTAATTGATTGAAATAAATAGATAATGAACATAGATATTTGATAGCTGAATAATTAAATGAATGACTATTGAATAAACAAATGAAACAAAGAAATGGATAAATACGCAAATATGTACAGTGGATGAATGAACAAATAGAAGAATACAATGATATAGAAATAAAAGAAAGTTATGGAAAAATATATGGTTGGATGAGCAAATGGATAAGTGAATGGAATTGAATTAATGAAAATGTGATTAATTGACTGAGTGAGTAACTGAATGAATAAATGAATGGATGAATATATGAATGGAAATGGAAAGATTGATGAACATTTTAATGAATGGCCAAATGAAATTATGAATAAATGAATAAAATAATACTAAGCAGATGTTTGAAAATGATGTTCACTATAAATAAGTTACAATATAAAGTGCGTAGATTTCCTAATGGATGATGACCATAAGAGTATGACATCTCTTTTGTTCTTCAAGGTTATATGATGGGAAGTCTAGGTTTCCTAGAATTGAGAACATGCCTCATTTTCACTATGATGAAATCGATCTAGGTACTCCCATTCAGGTATGGCTATTGCGTATTGGTTATGTTATGGTATAGCTTAGCCTCCTCCGCAGGCATCACTAAGAATCACGGGCTTCCTGTCTTTTTATTTTTGCTATCTCGTCACTAGTCCCTAACGGCCAAAATGMCCGTTRCAAAGGAAGCCCAAAGGAGGAAAAAAGAGTTGCCTGTGGAGGAGGCTAGTTATAGCTTATATTTATTTACCTTGATTGTATAATTAAATTTTTAAAGTTATCAATAAACCCTTTTAGCGGTCTCTTTTACACTTTGTTAGCCTCATTCTTTTATTCTGTAACAGCCCGTGCAAATCCAAGAGATCTGTGAGGATAGAATTATAAGACAATGAAAATATAATAGAGTGAAATCGCACAAGTTTTATCTAAATTTCTACATATTTTAGACACAATTGAAGCTAACACCTGTAGTGTAAAAGAGATTGCAAAACTCAATTTTTTGCAAACATTCATATTTATTAAATTATCTATTATTTTCTTGTTTTCTTATTGTATTTACCACAGGTTTCCCTGCTTAAAAGCTCTAATAGCTTCAGTGGCAAACCTTCAGTGGAAGGATTTATAGTAAGTGGTATTTTCCTACATTCTGTAATAATTAAAGCAACAAATGGTAGCACATATAGCTATAGGTTGTCAGATGGTTGATTATRCAAGGGAATGTGTGGCTGATGRTAACCTAATGTGGTTAATGATTTCTCACTTGGTAGTGATATCTATCTTGTAGGTGAGTGTAACTTGTAAGGAGAAGTCATGGAATATAAGAAGAAATGTAGAAAACTTTACTGGATTGGACAGACAAATCCACAGGTGAGTATTATTCTGTAGTAATAGCCAAAATGTTATACCATACATACATTTTAAGCTGGTTTTTGGACCTTTTTTATGTGAGAATAGCATCCTTCTTGTAATATATAAAAGATCTTGACATCCTTTGACTATGGTTATATAACAACACTTCATTACATTATTGATTTCCAGGTGTTTGTTTGACCGTAAAGTCAGTCAGCTGCCATGTTTAGTGGACATTCTTGATGACCAGCAACGCACTGCAGTAAGAACATGAAGTCTTATTTGATGATGTCTTTTCATTGAGTTATGATTCTCAGCATACCAACCAACAGACAACAGACACACACTAACAGTAACCCTCCCTCTTTTGAATTGCTATTAGTCTTGAATTTGATCTGTATGGACTGACCATACATGACCTGCTAGTCTCATCATAGTTCTGGATGTCTTTCCTCCTTTGGGTTTCCTTTGTAATGATCATATTGACAGTTAGAGACTAGGGACTTGGACTCCTTTTGACCCACTCCTCCCAATTTATACACAGGAAGCCCAAAAATAGATAGAATCACAATGACTGCAGAGGTAGCTAATGAAGTCTATTGACTCTTTTAGGAAGTAGAAGGCATTTTGAATGAATACCTGTTGCGCCTATCGGAAATTACAGATAACATTAACTTCAATTGTGGTCCTGTTCTAAACTGGTTTGAGGTAATTATAATTGGTTATTAATAATGATCATGATGATAATGATATGATAGAATGTATTACTGCTACTACTATTAATGATGGGATACTGTTAAAATTTAGTATATTCACTTATGATGACAGTGATTATAATGCTTTATTATTGTTTCTAATATCTTATTGATTTCTGGGTTTAGAAATGAAACTGAAAGTTATAGTGCTTAGAATAAGGCAATTCCAGGAGAAAGACCCTTAGGAATAAATTTGGAAAAATTAATTTCCGAACTCATATCAATTTCTGGGTTTGTTTGATTGACAGCTTGATAACCATGGCAACCATTTGTTATTGACTGACGAATCCGCTATCAATGTGCCAGCGGTTGCTGCTGCTCATGTCATCAAGAGATACACAGCACAAGGGGCTGATGAAATATCATTAGAAGTATGTATGATTGTATGTTGAGTATGTTCTCCTCTTATCGACAATCTAAACCTCATAAATGTTCTTAACTCACGCACACCCACTAGCAGAGCGAGATGATCATAGCAGCTAGAGAGGTTTCGTCCCCAAAAACTTCCCGAAAATACCCGCGCGCTTTGCATATTAAAAAATATCGCAGACGGCGCATTAAAACGAGGTATATTGAGATGAAAAGTAAAGGAGTTTCGCTATCCAAGCATAGTTAGTATGATACTAACTATGATCCAAGTTGACAGCGCATCTCAAAAGTAGTCTTTTGATTTTGCGATTTTCTCATTCCTTTTCACTGATTTGATGAACGTTTTCAAACAACAGGTGTACTGCTAGACGTTTTTAACGTTATTGTGAAATCCGTTTTTGAGAACTGGTTTTTATTAGCAAATAGAAATAGCTTGTGAACAGCACCGCACTATGGTCTCTGTAATACCTGTGACGTTGCTCGATTTTATACTTTCTTAGCCCCTAGAGCGAGTTGTATATTCTAAATGTTATAGAAAGGAAGCAAAAATGTGAAGTGTTTATGTATAAGCTATACAATAGAAATTATTCAAAATCTTTCTGTTTTATATAAATTAACGTGATTTCGCGTGACATTTGTGAACTGAGCTACGTCACAGTCAGCTGTCAATTATCACTCATGATCTCCTTACCCCATCCTTAATTGGTTGTTTTATAGCGGTCAAATTCTTGCCTTTCTATTGGATAATACCCTTATCAGTGTTGACCTCGAATCTATTTAGTCATGCTCTTTCGCGGTGGGGCATCAGCAAAAATATCCGCCAAAGGCGCGTCGGGGCTTAYTGTGAAAGAAAACCTGTGTTTACAATAAGGTTGTGCTTTGGTCTTTTGAGCTTAAAAACGAGGTTGYTATCGGTGATGTTACGAACATGGGGTATGTCGTTCACTATTGTAGTATATGTTGGCTGTATGGTGTGTATTGTTTTCCAGCTGGATCTATATCGTTGACTGAGCTGTTCCAAAATATTGTTTTATCATTTTATCCTTGTACTTGTGCATCAAGATGTAAATTCCTGTACGTTTTTGGTGCCATATCGTGATGTTATTAGAAAGTATAGCTTGAATGAAATATTCTGTATATTATTATGATAAGTTGTGGTTGCATTTTATATTAATAATTCTAGAGATTAGTGAGACTAGAAAGATGCACACCTTATTTTCACTGGCCTTTATTCGTGTTTTCAGCTTGCGGTTTTCGGCGATCTGTGTTCAAGAAACCCGCAACTGCCTGTGTTGCTAGATTATGTGATCCGGGGTTAATGTCTTACACGATTGGCTCTAAAACTAAAAGTGAAATACTCGTATCTGTTCAGTCGTGAATAGACAAATTGATAGACTCTTGATGGATGACTTTGTATTTTTACAAACTATAATGAATAACAAAACAAGGTGTATCTCAATTGTATCTCATCACTGCAGGTACCAGTAGTCGGTTAATTTCCTTAATTTAGAGCAATTTAACCGAATGTACTATAAGTTTTTATGTCAAAGAGTGGTGTCTCATATTTAACATTCCATCCTTCCATGTGGTCGCTTTTATGAATTTCAATTAAAAATTACTTGTTTATTGACGAGATTAAGGATACGTGGATTAGCACAATTCGACTGTCTAAAGCACACTGGATAATATGTATCCAATTCTACTTGGGAAATCCGATAAATTGACTCTTAAGTCTATGCTAGCAAATCAATATGACGTCAGAGATGACGTTGTTTTATGTAAAACGCCTACGTCTTTGACTTTGCAGTGGATATTTAGTTTGACCCTTAATCCCGGCAGATTGCTTGTGGATAAGAAATACTCCTCAATATCTTCATATATCCTCAATATCTTTATATATTCCGAAAACATAGACAAGAAAGGCGAAGTGACTTAGACGACTTCACTAAGATATCCATTGTTTATAATGCTATTTATTTTCCGGCAACCCCATCATACAATGCGGCATTTGCATCGACTTGTTCCGAAAACACATGTCATTTTTGCAGCGATTTTTGGTGCGAATTTGTGTCCCGAAATGATCATCATTTCTTGCTATATTACCTTAGTAGTTTCCTCCTCGACAATAAGACTACAAAAAAGGTTCCACTGGTTTGAAGCATAGATTCACAACGCTTTGTTGTGTTATTTTGTTTAACAATACGGCAAAAACATCGCAAAACTACAACAAAGTTACTGCAAATGTTGCATTGCCTCTGTCAACGGATCTTAAAGTAATGCTTAGTAMTATAMACCGGTATGCATATTKTATGGGTGGAGTGAATAYTGGTATGCCACTCGTGCATGGGTGGGATATAACACCTGATATGAACTACATGAGGAATGTATATATATTAGCACTTCAGCTACACCAGTTGTACAACAATTTGTACGACAAGAATCACGCATATAATAGAATACGACAAGATCAAAGTCAGCGTCTGATCTTGTTTTGTTTTGTAGGTGGGAGACATCATTTCCATCATAGATATGCCTCCAGTCGATGAGAGTATCTGGTGGAGAGGAAAACGAGGTTACGAGGTATAAACTGCATTCAATTTCATCAACTGTGAAAGCCCGGARAGTTGCTATCCACTTAGCACTGCGCACATGTGTCAGCAGTCTGCAAAGTGATTCACGGATATTATCACGTGCGAAAAACGAGAGAATTAGAAGTGAATTGTATTTTATAAAGAATTTTTGTTCGGAGAATTTGTTATTGTTCTCTTAGAAAAGAGGCAGCACATGTTAGGTCATGTTTTGGCCCATGTTTTACGTATTGCGCATGTTCATTTGTTGTTCAGGTTGGGTTTTTTCCAAGTCAGTGTGTTGAAGTTATCGGTGAAATGGCCAACAATCATCCTATTCCCCATGGACCAGGAAAGACCACACACATGAAACCAGGTAAGTGTCGCACAACGACCACCTCGAATACGCGCTCCTACAATGCACTATTCTTTGGATGTCACTAAATCCAATTATTTGTTGTAGTTGCCAAAAAGCGTGGTAAATTGATGAGCTTTTTAAGGCTGTTTTTATC